GGTTGTAAGATAACTGAGTTATGAAATAAGCTGCTGTAGTTCTCTGGACTTAGTATGGATATGTACATTTGACAAATGGTTTTCAAAATAATATTGGCAAAGTTTATAAGTGAATAGATGTACATCTCACTTGAAAATGAAAATTGCCCTACGTGTTTTATAACTAAATTTATGTAAATCATCTAAAATATATCCATTTATGGAAACATATTCATATGAATGTGTAACTATAAGGACAAAACATTTTTCACTTAACCTTGATTAAATATCTCTTTGTGGAATATCCGTGTGTGTGTGTGTGTGTGTGTGTGTGTGTGTGTGTGTGTGCCGTCTAGCATACGCCTCTCCATGCCCCTGCTCTCAAAGGTTCTACCACTGGCACTAAATGTCAGGGGTTTGGTCATTTCTGCAAACATCTGCTTGTTAATTGCTACAATCAATTTCATGCACACTGAGCAGCAGAGTGGAAAAGTGAGCACAATGCAGGTGTCTGAGCCGCTAGTCGACCGTTTCCTCCTCTGTGCTGCTGCCCACGGACGGCCCCCTGGAAGGAGAGGTGATCGCACTTGCGGAGGTTTTAGATAGCTACAAAACAAGGAAAAGCAATAGACTCCCAAATACTTGGCTCTTTGGAATTGAATTGTAATAGAATCCTACACATTCTTTCATAAAGGGAAAAAACACTTTATTCACTTTTCAGTGGGGGACATTAGAAATGTTAAATTTTTCATAGCGTTACCCAGCAGAAAAAGAACAACATATCCTTTTTCTGTGGAATATTCCAGCAGTAGTAACAATGAAGAAGTGGTTCAGGAAAATAAAAAACAAAACAAATACAGTGTCAAATACCTTTTGTAATTTTGTAATAACTTCAATTTTGATATCAGCTGATTAACAGCCCCATACTCTGAGATGCTGACGGCTTCGCCATGCAGCAGCATATTTGATATCTTATTAGAGAGGTCCAAACCTTGAGATATTACAGAGGGTAGAGGTAGACCGATGATGGAGGGTAGATTATGTTTAGAAGATGGGCAGGTGGGCATGAGATAAGTAGATACATGAATGCACAAATGATATACAGACAGACACACAGACATGAGGACACACTGGCACACAGGTAAGGGGTGGACCAGGGGAAGGAGACTAGCATCTTCTTTAAAAAATTTAAGCTTTCCAAAAAATTAGAAAATGCTTCTGTTGATCACATTGGTGTGTGTGTGGACAAAGCTGGGATGAGGAGCAGGCAGTGACCAGCACGTGTGAAGAGCAGATGTGGAAGACGTGCTGAGTGAATGGAGAGCAGCGGGGGTGGGGAGGGGAGCTGGGAGGGGTGGGAGAGAAGGGGGGAAGAGGGGGGCCAGGGGGGGGTGGAGGAGGAAAGGGGGGTACAGGGGGGAAGGGGGGAGGAGGGGGTCCGGGGGGTACAGGGGGGAAGGGGGGAGGAGGGGGCGGAGACCGGGAAGGGCTGGGAAAGTCTCTCCACACCTCAGTAAAGGAGAGTCACTGTCACAAAGTCATACTAACAGCTCAGCCAGGCGGCAGGCGGAACAGGAAGACTTGTGCGTCTTCGGTGCTGGCCTGCGTAGTAACAAACCATAAATTCACCTCGCACCCAGAACCGTTCCAATGGCCTGCCACAGTCCATCTGCCCCACAAGAAGCGGTTACAGATTACAAACACTGCTTCTAGGCGATCTGCCCACGACTGCATAAATCGCCTGAAATGTGAGCTGTGCCTCACAAAGGGATAAAAGCAGAGACCAAAACTGCCTCTGTTTTCTTGAAATCTCCATCTCCCCGTTGTCTACAGCGTGGGTTCAGAGCCCACACACTGCTATTGCCTCAAGAACATGTGTGACAGATCGAAACGTCTGCTGCTGGCATCACTGTAACCCTCAAGTTCACCTCAACCAGCCCCGGCGGCTCACGCCTGTCACCCTAGCCACGAAGGAGGCTGAGATCTGAGCACCCAGGGTCAAAACCAGCCAAGATAGGAACATTTGTGAGGGTCTTATTTCCAATGAACCATCAGAAAACGGGAAGTGGAGCTGTGCCTCAAAGGGTAGAGCACTAGCCTTGAGCAAGAGAGCTCAGGGGCAGCACCCAGGCCCTGACTTCAAGCCCCACGACTGACAAAAAATGTCACCTCAATGTAAAGAAAATCAGTCACTTTCCCTTTGCAACATTTCAGTCAGGAAGGCTAATTCACCATCACTCAAGCATAAAAAAAAAACCCCAGAATAAATGCATATTCTCTTGTTGATAATAATTGGAAGTCAAAACCTAGTTCTTAACCTTGTCAGTAAATAAACACTATTTGAAAGTTTGCAGAACAAAGTTCAATTTCTTTGGGAAAAGTAGATGGTAGAGAAGACAGGAAATGCTATAAGATCTAATAGGATGTGTCAAAGCAGACCAACAAGACACAAACAGCCGTTACCCTGTGCTGTACACGGTCCCCCGGCTGATTCTGAGGGCTGTGGTGCTCCGGCCTCGACCCCATGGGCCAACCGAGTGTGTCTGGGCGCCCAGGGTAAGAAAAACAGGCAGGTGACATCACCCACTTCACTCAGCGTGGCAGAGGATTGGGTGAAAGTTTTTGGTAAATCCCCTCGGGGCTGTGGAAGAAGAATGCAGGCCAGAGAGCCAGGGAAGCGAATAGACATTTCCACAAGCCTGGCTTTCTTCTCGTGTTCTTTGCTTATGTCTTAACCAACCTTAATAACAGTGTCAAATCTCACTGACATCAACAAAATCTTATCCATGAGATATAAGAATTGGCTAATGTACAGTAATCACTTTACAAAACATATTCCGTATACACATGTGTATCTGCTTCTTATTAGCATGTATGCATGAATTGTACCAGGTTCCCACCCCTCACGCTTTCCACCCCCACTCTCACGCAGGGGCATTGAGGATTACAACTGTACTTGATGATGGCCATGGCCTCCAAAGCCGCTTCTGCCAACCCAGAAAGGTCATCTTCAATGTACACGTGACTTTTTAAAGTATTAACATCACTACTCCTTTTTTTTTTTTTTTGGTCGGTTATGGGGCCTGAACTTTGGGCCTGGGCACTGTCCCTCAGCTCTTCAGCTCAAGGCTAGCCCTCTACCACGTGAGTCACAGAGCCACTTCCGGCTTTTCAGCTTATGTGGTGCTGAGGAGTCGAGCCCAGGGCCTCATGCATTGCAAAGCAAGCGCTCTACCACTGAGCCACCTTCCCAGCCCTCACTACTCCTTTTGTTAAATAAACAGGCAATTATGTCCCTCTCAGATTATTTTTATTGATAGCTTTTCAAATAAATATAAAAATGTTGTTGGGGCTGGGAAGGTGGCTCAGTGGTAGAGCACTTGCCTTGAGCTGAAGAGCTGAGGGACAGTGCCCAGAGTTCAGGCCCCACGACTGACCCCAAAAAATGTACCTTGTTAAAATAGTAACTGTGAGCAGCATGAGTCACAAAAATTGTATTTGCTTTTATTTTAATACTCTGTAGACTCAGAATTCAAAACATGCATGCATTAGCTTCATTGACCTCTGCCTGGAGCAGCACCTGACTACAATGCAGAAGAGCGCGTGTGTGGAGCAGACGCCGGAGGGGAGGCCCACTGGCGTGGGGGTATAACCTGCACTCCTGAGAGGTCATCTCAGGAGTTAATGTATGTGCGGAAGAGCCTCAAAATATTCTTCCGGTCTGAATCGTCAAGCTATCGAAGGATCCTGGTGTGATTTCAGCCAGGTGGCACCCACTAAGATAAATTTCAATTTTGTTGTGCCTGTCCATATGGAACCAGAGTAAACTATAGCTTGGTAATTCCTTGCATTCTGGAAACGGTAGACACATGGATCGTTTCGCAAATCCATAGAGTGCAAGGTTGGTGGATTTTGAAACATTCTTTTGTGACATGTATGTGGTAGGGGCAGTAAGGCAGTGACAATTACATTGACATTTTATTGGTTTTCTCAGTGTCAGAAGAGATACAGGTAGGGGTCAGGATTGTATCCATCTTTACCCTTCTCCAAGACTGTAACCATTTTTAGTCTAAATATAAGATGCTATTTAGAATAGTACAATGGAACGTCTTTTTTTGTACTCTGTAAATCCAGGTGGAAATCTGTGTTTCTGGACAGTAATATTTATTGATCAATGTTTTTTTCCAGGTAGTTCTCATACTTAAATAGTATTTAAAAACAGCCAATTACATTACAAAACATCATTCCTCTCAAAAACTACAACTGAAACGTGAGCTTTGTTCTACATGAGCAAGTGCTCTTCCACTCTTGACTGATGCCCCCAAACCTCTCTTCACGTTTTATGGGAGCAAGGTAGAAGAAGGTAGCCTACAGGGAAAGGTGGTGCTGAATGAACATGGACCAACACTGGAGTGGAAACAGACTTTCCAAGGTGTCTGTCAGGCACAAAGTGAAAACTCAAAGCAGGAATAGTCTGGTATTAAAGTCTTTATTATGGAAGTGGTGCTGTGGCTCAAGGGGTAGAGTGCTCGCCTTGAGCTGAAGAGCTGAGGGACAGTACCCAGGCCCAGAGTGCAAGTCCCACAACCAACCAAAAAAAAAATATATAAATAAAATAAAGTCTTTACTAGTAATTAATCCCGAATTGAATATAATAATGTGAAAAGTAATAGCAGAATTAGTTCCTATCTCCTTTCATACACACAGAGCTATCATCATGACTCTCACCCTTCGCTCTGTTGCTCATGTTTTACCAGTTAACACGCTGTCACCATTCCCCCCTACGATGTCATCATACACTTTCTAAAACAGAAGTATTCTTTCACAGAATTAGAAAACACTTATCAACATCTGCAAATAAAACTAATGCAATGCAACTGGGTAAGGGTTTTGGAAAATGAGTTTAAAATCAAAGAACTTTGCAACACAAGGAAACCATTCTTTGAAGTCAGAGGACTATTAGCATATAGCTACAGACAGCAGGTTTTGAAGAGAAGGAAAGCCATTCAGACTAAAATTCCCTACTTCATTGTTTCCTGAAAGAACGGTCTCACTGTGAATGTTTTCTTCAGAGCCCTGGTGACACTGCTGTTCCGAAGACTGTAGATCAGAGGGTTTAACACCGGTGTGAGTATGGTGTAAAAGACAGACACCACCATGTCCTTCTCAGGGGTGTGGTAGGAGCCGGGGAGCATGTAGGTGTAGATGGCAGCACCGTAGAAGAGAAGGACCACGGTCATGTGGGAAGAGCAGGTGGCCAGGGCCTTCTTCCTGCCCTCTGCTGACTTCATCCTGTGCACAGTGAGGAGGACCAGCGCATAGGAGGTGGAGATGACCGTGACAGGGATGAGCAGCATGAGGACGCAGCACAGGTACATGAGCGTCTTGTAGAGCGAGGTGTCTGAGCAGGAGAGCTTCAGGACCGCGGGCACCTCGCAGAAGAAGTGGTGGATCTCTCTGGACTTGCAGAACGGGAAGGTCATGGTGACTGGGGTGAGCATGAAGCCGTCCACAGAGCCCAGGACCCAGCAGCCCAGTGCCAGGACCAGACAGGCCTTGCGGCTCAGGAGGACGGGGTACTGGAGCGGATGGCAGATGGCCGCATAGCGGTCATAGGACATGGCGGCCAGGAGGAAAAACTCTGCACCCACAAGTGTCAAATACAGGAACATCTGTACCCCACATCCGGAGACTGAGATTGTGTTCAGACCGGTCATCTGGTCCACGAGCATCTTGGGGACGGTGACAGTGATGTATGCCAGGTCCATGAGGGACAGCTGGCTGATGAAGAAGTACATGGGGGTGTGGAGGCGGACGTCGGAGCGTATCACGGCGATGAGGACGGTGTTCCCAGAGAAGGCCAGCAGGAAGACCACAGACACGACCACACAGAGCAGCGCCGGGTGTCTGGACTGACTGAAGAGGCCCACCAGGATGAAGGCTGATGGTGCGGTGTGGTTGGCCGTCCACATGGAGATGTTTATTTAGTTTCACCTAGATTGGCATGAGAGCTTTGGAGTTGGCACGATGCGGTCCTCCAACTCATCTGCTCTGAGAACATTCTATGTGTGTGCGTGTGCGTGTGTGCATGTGCATTAACCAGACCGTGGCAGCTAGAGGAGTCCATGTGCCTGTAGCCTTGAAGTGTATAAATCACCTGCAAAGTGACAATTTATATAAACAGTATCTATTCACATCTGTAGTCACAATGGTGGTGAGTCCTAGCAGAGTGGCTGCAGTCGACGATGGTGAACTTTGCTAATGGTATTAATACTCTGTATCTGCTAGTACTAGAACTGTGCGAATGGATGTCATGGTAGTTACTTACTAGGTAAACTGTGAAATCAGACTTTCATTTGGAAAATTTCAGTTTTGATGTATGCTTAGGGATATAAAGGAGTCTTAAAAATTCTCAAAGGCATCCGCTGTCTATATAAAAAAAATTAGAAAATAATTGAAACAAAATTAGGGAAAAATCCATTCCAACTGGTGAGTGACCTGTCACCATGCCGTGGTTGGTGGAGCAAGCATCACATTCAACAGTGCTACTAACAACCCCTGAGGCGAACGGGAGCCAGTCCTGCTGCCGGCAGCTCTCCTATCTCCCCCACGTTATGTAACTACGTGATAGAGCAGGACCTCAGTACACATTTGTGCAGTGTAAATGAAGTACAGTGACATGTGTCTGTGGAATACACATAGAGGCAAATGGATGTATATGGTGTTAAGTCACTGAATCACAAGATGGCGAATCAGGGAGGGCCGTCCTTTCCTGTATCTCTGGGGCTCTGAAACAAAATCACTAGATTTGTAGCTTTTGGAGACTTACGTAGTTTGGGAAAGCAAGGCAGGAAAATAAAGAACAGACAAATACAAATTAGATGAAATCCACCAAGAGACTGGCCTTTCCCTTTCTTTTTTTTTTTGTCGGACGTGGGGCTTGAACTCTGGGCCTGGGCGCTGTCCCTCAGCTCTTCAGCTCAAGGCGAGCGCTCTACCACTTGAGCTACAGCGCCACTTCCGGTTTTCTGGCGGTTTATTGGAGATAGGAGTCTCACGGTCTCTCCTGCCCGGGCTGGCTTTGAACCGCGATTCTCAGATCTCAGCCTCCTGAGTAGCTAGGATTACAGGCGTGAGCCACCAGCGCCCGGCGACCTTTCCCTTTCTTAAAGAAGCACTGAGTGTTAGCGTTGAGCACGAAGCAGAAACGAAGGCAGAATCCCAGCAGGGACACAAACAAACTAAAGACAAGCATGAAGAGGACCTACGGTCGCACCCCAGCTGGCATGCCGTGAAGACAAAGTTGAAGGAGACGCACGCAGATGCACCCAGCACTAGCACCAGAAAGGAGCAAGACGCGCTGGAAATCTCCACCAGACCCGTCAGCCCGGGAGATGATTTTGACTTTTCTTTCCCTGAACACCAATATCTATTCCCCATTTCCTCCTCTCTACAAGCAAGCACCACACTGAGGCTCAGCATGGACCCAGTGGGAGACCCAGATAAAAACCCTGGCGGTGGCTCTGAACTCGGAGAGACCAAGGGTCTCGTAAAATAACCCCATCTGCTACCGGGATAGCTATGGGTTCGTGCAGGGCAGTCAGCGCTGAGCCAGCGCCTCTGTCTTCTCCACTGCTTCCAATACTAGCAGAGGGCCAAAGAGAATTTTGGATTCTGGACATGGCTTGGGAATTAGTCATGGTAAATATTAAATTTCCACAGGAAGAAAATAGTATCTTCTCTTTTACAGAGTACTTTAGCAATGGTAATAATAGGGGGATACTTCAGAAACAGTCCTGAGTACCCAAAGCATTTTAATTCATTTTTTGTTATGGCAGAGGTGATGTGTGGAGAGTTACAGTTACGCAGGTCAGACAGAGTACATATCTTCTGAAGCAATGTCACCCTCCCTTGCTCTCTCTTGGTTTCCCCCTCCCATCATCCCCCCACCCCACCCCACGTTGTATAGTTCATTTTCAACAGTGTCTCCTGAGCACCACGGCTGCTTTTGTTTACCATTTGTCCCTCCATTTCCCCACTGACCCTCCCAAACACAGATAAAAGAACAAAAAAGACAAAAGGAAAAGAAAATTAAAACAGCAACAAGGAAAAAGCCTCTTGCTTCCAATTCCTGGAGCTCGCTTTGATAAACACTATTTTCTATGACCATATCCACAGAGTTATGGAGCTTTGCGTTCTCCTAGGCATAGTCTCTTTTGGTCTCACCCTGGTGTGTGAACACCAAGAGACCAATGTGCCAAAAATACCTGATACTCATAATGATTTCCCAGACTAATTCTGATATCAACTCATTCACAGTCCCATGTTCTGAGATGCTGAGGGCATTTGTGTCTGTGTCTGCTGCTTTATTTTATTTTATTTGTCAGTTGTGGGGCTTGAACTCTGGGCCTGGGTGCTGTCCCTGAGCCCTCAGCTCAAGGCGAGCACTCTGCCACTTGAGCCACAGCGCCACTCTTCTGGTGGTTTATTGGATATAAGAGTCTCATGGACTTTCCTGCCTGGGCTGGCTTTGAACTAAGATCCTCAGATCTAAGCTCTTGAGTAGCTAGGATGACAGGCGTGAGCCACCAATGCTTGGCTTGCCGCTTTATTTTAAAGGTTCAAAAATCTGAGTAATTGGGCTGGGGATGTGGCTCAGTGGTAGAGCGCTTGCCTAGCATGCACGAAGCCCTGGGTTCGATTCCTCAGTACCACATACACAGAAAAAGCTGGAAGTGGCGCTGTGGCTCCAATGGTAGAGCGCTAGCCTTGTGCAAAAGGAGCTCAGGGACAGTGCCCAGGCCATAAGTTCAAGCCCCAGGACTGGCACAAAAAAATCTGATAAATTTTAGAAGTTGGACATAGGTAGGCAAATGGATGACAGATAGATGATTTTTAGACAACTAGGTAAATAGACGGACAGGAGGTGATGGACAGATACATGATAATACAGATAATATAGTCAGACATACAGACATGAGGGGATGGAAGCACATGGGTAAGTAGCAGATAGGCAGATAGGTTTCTTTTACCAACGTCTATCCCCACTGCAGATGGACACTACCCTCTATAAAATGTAAAGCTTTCAAAAAACTACAAACATGGGCTGGGAAGGTGGCTCAGTGGTACAGTGCTTGCCTTGCATGCATGAGGCCCTGGGTTCAATTCCTCAGCACCACATAAGCAGAAAAAGCTGGAAGTGGCACTGTGGCTCAAGTGGTAGAGCGCTAGCCTTGAGCTGAAGAGCTGAGGGACAGCGCCCAGGCCCAGAGTTCAGGCCCCACGACCGACTAAAAAAATACAAACATGCTGCTTGGTTCATCTCTATTTGTGGACCAAGTGGGAAGAAGGAGCAGAGGTTATGGGCACACGGGCAGTGGCTGGCCGCCGTGGGAGCGGTGGAGGCAGCGGCAGCGGCTGGCCGCCGTGGGAGCGGTGGAGGCAGCGGCAACAGCTGGCTGGCGAGAGATGTGTTGCAAAAATCACTACCACATTTTGGCAAATAAAAGCATTGTCACCAAGCCACACAAGACAGTGCAGACAGAGTGCCAGGCAGACACGGGGCGCCATCCCTCCTGCTCTGAACCGTCTCTGTCAGCCCTGCCGACTGAACTTCTGATCTGTAGCTGAGCACATGATTAACATGGGGTTATGAGCTGTGCTGGGAGCGTAACGCAAAACCACAACGGCAGCGACAGCCTGAGCCTGGTTCTGATGGTCTATGATCCTGCACTCTCCTGCATAGTTCTGATGGTCTATGATACTGCACTCGCCTCGGGAGAATGCAGCCCTCTGTCATCTTATTTTCTGCTACACACAGTACAAAGCTGGTTGTAGGCTGACATCACACAGGATTTGTGTTAGCAAAGAGAGCAGCACTCACAAAAGCCCCTCTTCACTTTGTCTAGCGTGTGTCTGTTTCTCCAAGCAAACCAACTGTATATAGACTTATTATTGGGCCTGTGTTTCTGCAGCTATTGCAGCCTTCAATGGCATCTGCCATGTTAAGCAGTATCAGTCACTTTCCCCCAGTAAAATTTTAGCCTCAGAAAATCTAATGTACAAACCTAGGAACATAAAAAGGAAACATTGCATTCTGCTTACAAATAATTAGAAATAAAAACCTAGTTCTCCATATGCTGAAAGAAACCACAAATGCTCTGCGAAAGCTTTGAGAAGCAGTTTCTCTTTCCTCAGGAGACGTAGATGAAAGAGAAAACGCAAGGAGACCATGTCAATAGCAAGCAATGCACAGAAGCTTGCTGCCCAGTCTCAACAGCAATTACCTTCTGCCTGCAGCATCGTCTCCCGCCTGCCACCTCTCCAGCAAATCTGCTCCAGCCTGTCCACACAGACTCAGGGATGGCGTCCGGGTTATATGTGCAAGAGCTGGACTGTGACGTCACCCCTGGGTTTACTCCGAGAGTTAGAGGCCGGGTGGAAGTTTTTGATAATAAATTCCTTTGGGGACATGACTAGGAATGTAGTGAGGGAGCTGAAGAGGGTAACAGCATCTCTATCAGAGAGTGCTGGTTTTGTTTCTTGTTAATGACGGCGGCGGCGGCAGCGGCGGTGGTGGTGGTGATGAGGAGGATGTGGAGTTACACTGCCATAAGGCAGGTTCTGAGTCTGCCCCGGGCTTCTGGGTCAGGGCACTGCTCATTCTGTTCTTCCTTTGTTGGTGCCCATTCCCCCTCCCATCTAGCTTTTACCCGTCTTACTGTTAAACTCGAAAGCTGTACCACAATAAGGAATCAAATCGCACGTTTTAAATAAAACTTTTAAAAATTATACATTTGTTACGTTTAAGTAAGAGCACAAAGGCGTTGCCATTCAACAAGTCAGCGATGAACACATCAGCCTCCCTCCCCGCCTCCCAGCCAAAGCCTGCCGTTCCCTCGCTTCATGGACTATGCGTGGAATATTAGGACTGCCTTCTCCCCGCCTTCCTCCTCTCATGAAATACGCAAGTTGGCCA